AAAAAATCTCTTTATAAGTTAAAACAAGCCACCAGACAATGGTATATAAAGTTTAACTCTTATGTGCAGAGTTTGGGCTTTGTCAAAAGCAATTATAATTCATGTTTTTTTCCTATAAAGGGTCAGGTGGACCTAAATCCATTTACTTGTTGTTATATGTTGATGACATATTACTTGATTGCCAAGGTATATCCGAAATTAATGTTATGATGTCAAAACTGAAATTTAAATTTGAAATTAAAGATTTAGGTCAAGCAAAAAAATTCTTGGAATGAAAATAGAAAAAGGTAGGAATAATTGCATCATAGTTTTGAAATAATGTTCTCAAGTGAAGAAAATATTTGAAAAAATTTCTATGCATGAGTGTAAACCTATTTCCTAATCACTTTAAACTTTCTTGTGATCAGTTAGATGACGAATTGAGAAGAATGAAAAATGTTCCTTATGCCAATCTGTAGGGTCTATTATGTATCTTATGGTGTATATCGAACTTGACTTAGCTCATGACATTAGTATTTTAAGTAGGTTTATGGAAAACTCAGGTGAAACACACTGGTTAACTATGAAATGGATGTTAAAATACTTAAAAGGTTCTTCTGATTTAGATTTAATGATTAAAAGAAGTAATAAAGGAATAATTCTTAAAGCTTACACTGATTTTGACTTTATTGGTGACTTAGCTAAGAGGAGATCCACATCCTCCTATATTTTTACTTGGTGTGATGGATGTATTAGTTGAAAATCTCAGTTGTAAAAATTGGTTGCTTTATCTTCTACAGAGACTGAATACATTGCTACATGTGATGCTATTAAAGAAAGTATTTGGTTAAGGAAATTATTAAATGAAATTGGTTTTATGAAGGATTCTGTTGGAATTTATACTGATAATCAAAGTGTCATTCATCTTAGTAAAAATCTTGTATATCATGATAGAACTAAGCATGTGGATATAAAGTTTCACTTTGTGAGAAATATAGTTGAGAAAGGTCTAACATGTTTAGTTAAAATTCCTAAAAAATTTAATTCATCTAATTTAGGAACCAAGATACTGCCTCTTAATAAATTTATAAACTGTTTGAAAATTGTAAACATCACTTGAAGGTAGTGATATTTAGAATATGAGCATTATTTGTTGAAAATTGTACTAACTACAATTTTTTTCTTTCTACATGTACTTAGAGCAAGTGAAGCCAATTGATGTCTAGATCCATTAGTAGCATGGTGGGGATTGTAAAATGTTTGGGTTGCCTCACTATTTTACTTGCCCTGTTGGGCCGCCTTATTTTTGAAATCGGGTTGAGATCCATTTAGTAAAAACACGTTTCTGTTTACACATTTTTGCCTTTGATTCTTGTTTTGATCTACCATCCACGTGCCTCACTATTGACCTTGGATTGCGTTTGTTGATATGAATTGATACTAATAATTGGCCTTTTTCGTCTCCTTCGTTCTGGATGGTTCTTTCTCTCTGAGTGAGCTAGGGTTTCTCTAAAATCTATAGCTGTGATCTTGTTTACTCTCTGTTCTTTTAGTAAGAGCGATGGTTGTTTTGTATGTTCTTGATGAGATTGTGAGTGTTGGTTACTAATTTGTAAATAGAGAGACTAGAGAGAACTTTTGTTGATTTCTTCATACATTTTTACCATTTCTTGGTTGAAATTAGTGGTTTTGGAATAATATCTCTTAGCATATGCTTGACGGGTAATTAGGTCTTACGATTGAACATCTGGATCCTTTCAAGGCAAAACAATTCTTGTGTTCTTGCGTTTTAAGTTTTTGTGTTTCTTTTACAATCTGTTACAATTTTTTTTTTTTTTTTAACGATCAAAAAGTTTTCTCAACGTCCTGGGACTTACAATTCACAAAGAACGAAGGAAGAATCAAGAAGAAACAAGCAACAATCCGTGGGGATACAGTGGATATAGAGTATAATTTGTGGGGTGGAGATATATGTACAATAGATTTGATCTACAACTACATACTGTAGTTATTTTATTTTTATTTCATGACATATTTTAGAGAGATTTCTTACACTTCTTTTTGTAGAAAAATGTGATGTTAATGTGCTTAATATATATGGTATGCCGCTATTCATTTATATATATTGGATCAATAGTGTAAAATTTTGATTCTCAAACTGGCTACTTTGCATCGCACTTAATATATATTTACACTAAATTCAATTTAATTTACTAATATGCTTGCAAATTTATGTTGAATTATTCCTTTCTGAAAGCATTGCTGGCTGCAAAGATTATGCATTCTTGATTTGGCTTAGCTGTTTTAGTTTTATCTAATTGATATTCCAATCTTTTACAGTTTTTTTTTTTTTTTTGTTTTGTGCATAAATTTAAGAGATTAATTGATTGTTTGGTATATCCTAATTTAATATTATAAAATGACTATTTATTGTTGACGATAGAATTCGAATCAATAAATTCCTCCAACCTAACCAAGATTTTCGCCTTTTAAACCCATTACTTTTAATGTTCAAATTAGAGTAAGAGAAGAAGTGGCTACTTGGGAGGAGGATATTTGAATTTGCATGCTTCTTTTCTCTTAGGCTGGAGTATCTATAAATTTCCTTCAGGGCCTTGGGGGTAATTCACTCATTTTGGCTGAATGTTGGGTCCTTGGTTTAACATTTACGACGGTTAATGTGTTAGAAATTAACTAGTGACACTGT